GCGGGGCTGGGCACGTCGTAAGAATGCCGCACGACGACCCAGTGAAAATGGTTCTAGAAAGCGACCCAGCAGAAACAAGAAGAAGAGGCGCTTAAGTTAATGGGATTATGTATTCTGAAGCTAACTGATCGTCCTCGAAGTACTCACATTTGTTTTAATTCATAGAACTCCGTTAATATTCTGTAATCAACTTAGCAAAATTTTCGCATTTTTTAAAGTTCTTGAAATCTCCATCTCCACCCTTAAAATACGTTTTCCGGATGTTCATGTAATTTTTATAACGTCCCATAAATTCCGTAGCTTTGCTGAAATATCTGGACGTTTGCACAATTTCCATGAAATTATTTGAACTAAATAGCTTGTCTTCATTATCTTTAATAGATCGAGCATTCCAATTTAAAGATTTAAAATCCATTACTGTTTTTCAAATGACGATATTGTTTGCAAATTTGACTGAAGTTTGAATAACATCAAACATGGAGTTAGTTTTTAGTTTATCAGTAATCATGTCAAGATTTCTGTAAAAATTCAATTTTAGGAGCAACAATGCTACTTGAGTCGAAATCATCACAATTTCCGTTAGAATTATGTTAGCTAGAATTTTAATTTCGGTTTCTACCATCTACAATAGCAGTATAGGTAGCATCTGAACATTGTTAGCAGCAGGAATAGATGAAGAATTTGTAGTAGGGAACTAGACTTGAAGTGAACTAAATAAAAATCATTAGGAATCCCGTTGCGCGAATCGTCAGGACGGGATTTCATTTTCGTTTTGATTGATCCAATCCAAGCTCCAAGTAATGTTGTCAATTCATCTTTGATATGATCCAGGGATTCACAACTGGGCAGTCCTTCCAAGACAACCTTGAACACACGTTCAGATCTAGTGTCGTAAGTAAAAAAATTATGCTGCTTCTCAGAAGATACGTTTGAATCCGTCCAAGGTTTCAACCAATACCCGGCATTCACCCCGACGACGGCCTATTTGAAGTGAAAACGAGAATTTAACGAAGTTCAAAAGTTCCGTGCGAAGAGCATGGAAATCGAAAGTTGTTATCACAATAGGGGGACCTTTTCTTTCTTATAATTAAGCCGGGAATGTTGAATGGAGTTTTGCCTGGATGATGAATCATTCTCATTATCCATGAGGATATCAAATTGAATACTCAAATAAATTTCATCAGAAGGGGGATCAAGAGATTACCCTTTTCTTTTGTGTTTAGGCGCCATGGCGTTTCTCCAAATCGATTTCCAAGCAGATTAATATGAGGATCGAAGTGGAATTTTCCAAATCAATATCCAAGCTAGATTACGCTTATACAAAATTACCATACACGAACGATAACCCAAATAATAGAACTATTGTACAAATGGTTTGGATGACACCTGGAACACATCGCTAAGCAAAATAACCATAACAATTTTATTAGGATACCTCGGATAGCGTCAAAACAAGCATCGAAGAGGAATAAGAGTCGAACAAGGTAGAAATTTTGCAGGTAATGTTGAGCACTGAAAAGTGCTGTTTAAATATGTTGTAGCTTAAGGTAGCAGTAACATTTCCTTCAGCAAAAAGCAAACAGATCCGCACGGCTAGAGCCACGATGCGGATGACGGATGATTCGTATCTTTGAAGACTGATATTGAACGTAACTAAAATAAAATTGAAAATTATGCAGACAAATCTACTTTTTTGTAAAGAGAATCTCGTCAAAGCTAGCATTGCACAATGAAAATACCATTGCAATGGTCCCAAAGTCTTATTTACCATTTCATTATGAGATTCCAATGCACAATGGTCCCAAAACCGTATTTAGGAATACACAAATATTTGCGCCCAAACCATCACTTTTAGGTGTATGGTGTCTCCGGGAAAGTTTCTTTATATTTTTTGGCCAATCTTTTTAGGTTAGTGAAATTAGGGTGGTCCATAAAATTGGTGAATTGAAAATATGAACTTTAGTTATGATTTGAGAAGGACCAATGCAATGTTCTAAAAAGATGTAGATCAATCAATTCGAAGCAACTTTGCTCAAGACACTAAATTTCTATCTCTTATGGTTCATGAGTTATGAATATTTTAAACAAGCAGGTTAGGGTGGCCCAGGTTGCTATATTTTATGCTTAGAAAGTTAAAGGAGATTTTCTTCGAAAAAATGACTCTTTTCAATTCTCAATTTCTCTAAATAGAGCAAACCGATTTTCTAACTTTTAATTCCATTTGAAATATTTTTTATTTTTGGTGAAAAAACTGCGAGAGCATTTTTTGTTTAAAGAATTTACTGCCCATAAAAGCACAACAGTCCCATATGAATAGGAAATCAAGCAAAGATGGGACAATTAGCTGGGGCAGTTTAATTTAATTAAAAAAAAGTCATTTTTTCAGCAAAAGCTAGCCATAAATTTTCAAATAAAAGAGATGACAGCTTTGAGAAATGAACGTATGAAGATATTAAAAGAAAGTCGATTTTCAAGGCGCCACCCTAACCTGTTTATTAAAAAAAATCACAACTCATGAACCATAAGAGATAGAAATATGGTGTCTTCAGCAAAAATATGCGCCATTAAAAGTTTTAAAAGTGTCTAGACCAAGGTCAATCTTTTTATGTTAGTGAAATTCGATAGTGTTTAAACGTCAAACGCAAGGCCAACTAAAAAAATTTAAATTTACCGTTAAATGCCGTACCCTAACAGAACTATCTACCTACCCTCTTCCAAGATCATTCTCTAGCTAATATATTATCACACTAAAGCTTCATGTTAGATAGCATTTCCAACCAACTCTTAAATTCGTGTTCGATGAAAAGTGTTAAAGTTTTATGTATGTTTGTCTGTGATATTATCTTAACTCATGAACTATAAGAGCTATCTCTTATTTTTATTTCTAATATTTTCAGCAAAGTTGCATCAAATTGATTGTTCTACAAGTCTCTAGAACACTGCATTGGTCTATCTCAAATAATAAAACGTTTGTATTTTCAATTCACCAATTTTATGGACCACCCTAATTTCACTAGGATCAAAAGATCGGCCAAAAATATGAAGAAACTTTTCCGAAGACACTATATAACTTAAACTGACGGTTTTGGCAAACATTTTTGTCTTCCTAAATACGGTTTCGGGACCATTGTGCATTGGAATCGCATAATAAAATGCTACCAAGATTTATCTTGACAGCTATCACCAACCAATCAATCTCAAAAGTGTGATTAATTTGCCCCGGGTCCAGAATTATTATTATTTTTTTGTTTATTTTTTTTTTTTGTGGCAAAATGTAGATTTCAAATCTTGTTCCGTTTTTTCGTGTTTCGGGTAGTTTCGGTTGAAGTTTAGGACGATGTTACACAGAAAGTTTTCAAGAATTGTCAATGCAAGGTTGCAAAGACTCATTTCAGCTAAAACAATGTTTTTCTAAATTATGAAATAATTAGATGACATGATCAAATTTTGAATTGGTAGGATACAAGAAGAGGTTACAAAGAATGTGTTTGACATATTAAACCTGTTTATTTCACTTCATGAGAGTCACAATCAGCGATTTTTCACAAACTCACTCACTCACTCACTCACTCACTCAGCGATCAGCAAATCGCTGATTGTGACTCATAGAAAGCAAAATTTACAGGTTTTATGTTTCCAACGCATACTTTGTAACCTCTTCTTGTAAGTTACAAGTAAAACATGCCATCATACCATCTTTTGGTTTTATTATTCCGAAAAACATTATTTTAGCTGAAATGAGTCTTTGCAACCTTGTGTCAATGATGAAGAAAAGTCTGCTAAATCAGGAAAATTTTGAAACTGGTTAGAAGCCGAACCCACTGGAATCCCATGAATTTACCATAAAGGAATTCAAATAGAACACGAAGCAGTTTTCAACATCACAAAACTATTAATTTTTATTTATTAAAACACCCACCCACATACACATTTAATTTATGTTGACACATAAATATAACATAACCAATGCTATCGTAAATCTGCCAGTAACGTTTACCGAACGTATGACCTTACCCTCCCCACTAAGAAACCTCCAAACTCCTGTGACACTTATGAGAGGTCGTGGAGTTCTCTGCATCTCTCTTAAGTAAGTGTCCATCTAAAAATTCTTCCCATCCCCAGCAGTTGCAAGGACGTGGCCAGAACAGTTCTTGACTATTGGAGTGTACTGCTACTTCCATCTAAGAGGCCGAGATCAATCCCATATCTCGGTCAATACGGTAACGGACGGAGGTGGCAATACTCACATAAAATGGTCTAGGACTTGTACCACCTACGAATTTGTGAAACTTGCTGATGCTAATGCTAAATGTAGATTTCAAATCTGCTTTTGATTTTCTTCTGATTTCAAATGAAACAAATTTCATTTTTTTTTTCATGTAAGATGATAGGAGAAAAAATAGGACCACGCATTTGAGATTCATGTTTTTACACACCAACGTATTTTGATAGCCTAATAAAATTCCGAAACTTCAATTAATATCTATTAAAAGTAACCATCAGAAAACAAACAACCATTTACTAGCCATTAATCTTCGAAAGCCAACATATTAAAATGCAAATACGCGGTTTTATTTGCAATTAACCAACGCCCCCCTCTTCTTTTTTTTTTTGTCGGACCCGATTGCATGACTACCAACTAATTTCTCATTGCGTTTTGGCGGAAAAACACTTGCGTGATAACTGGCAACTTATTTGAAATCATGTTCCCGCTTATTCCTTGTTTAACGTAGAATTGGAGAAAGAGAAAAAAAACAACTCTCTTCCGTGCCGAAGGTGGTGGCTCACGTTTGTTCAGCCGCTGCCGAGTCAATACACCTGAGCATCTGAACAAGATGATGCAGATAATGATGTAGCATAACATCTAAATTTTTCACATTCCCAGACGGTATGATGCTTCCCATCGGACAACAACTGTGTGCAAGCAAGTCATTCCCGAATGTAGACTCTGAGTACTAAACTCGTACCAGAGGTGCCGGAAACTTGTCCGCAGAACTTACCTCTAGTGCAGTCAATATCACGCACGGATGCTGCAGATAGACAATCGTAGACTCATCACTGTATCCACCGCAGGGGAATCGATTCAGCTGCTCGAGATCGGATGCTGAAAAGGACAAACGAGAATGTCAGATACATCTGGACTACCGTTAGAAATGACACATTTTGTAAGGATGCTATAAATCGTTCCAATGTCTTGTTCCGAACCAAGAAGAAACTTCCTTTATCGATTTTCCTTCTTCCAAACTAAGACGATATGAGTGAACTTTACACAGTTTGCCTAGCACAGGTACGGTTTAATTCTTGTAACATAAACATAAAGTATGACGATCACTCTAATGGCATCGCCGTAATTAGAAAGAAGGGAAATCGATGGCCTGAACCGACGAGTGACTCATAGAGTGTTTTGAAGAATCACTCAACAATTGAAGGCTCAACATCCAAACATCAATATACCTACATTTCCCATGCTTCAGAATGACGTCAGATTTTCACTCTTCAAGCGGCGGTTTTCTCACTTACCTTTCAATCCCGAGACCAGCACTCGAAAGGGGTACTTGTGGCTGTAGGAAGCTAGGTTACCACGTATCAGAATGTATGGCATTGAAGTTTAATCTGAAACGAGCGAGATAAAGGGAGAGAAGTGAAAATAGGCGATGAAACTGGGAGAAGGAAAGTGAAAATTACCAATCGGGCTCTAGAAATCAAAAGTGAAGCAATTATGTACGACGTTAATTTATGGTCCGATAGGAACAGGTTCCGTTGAATTTTTGTTGGGGTGGGTGTGTTTCCCATAGTCAAGTAGAGTAAATTTAGTAAAGAAAATGTTTGAAATATTACCATCGATGTGCAGACATATTGCTCGTCATAGACAATTTCTGATCCATTTAGTCAAAAAATCATAAAATTGTAGAATCGCGATTTTCGCACAAAATTCGCCTCTTCGATCAGTATGTGCCCTGAAGTGTTTATATTTGGAACAAAACAGGGATGGGTCTGGGTTTGTATTTGCACTTATTGACTTGTGGCACAGTTTGTACTGAACCGGTTGCCACCGAACCGGCCAGATATATGTATGTATAGATACAGAGACACAGAGAGAGATACACTTATGGGATAGTGGAAAATTTGAATAGTAGAAGACAGAAGTAGCAGCAGCAGCAGCAGCAGCGGATCCGCGTACAAACAATATTTTGAATTTACGGTTATATCACCGCGACGGACGGGTTGGATGATTCGAGTATAAACAGCAACAGAGTATTGGAGTGATGGGGCAGCAAAACAAATAAAGAGTCGAATATACGCTTCGCCGCGCCACGCCGATACAGCCAGTAGGTATGGGTCATCAGGTAGGCCGTCCGAATCCTCTCGACCGTGTAACGCACAAAACGAGACGGCTGACGACGGGGGTATCTGAACCGGCAAGAAGTGTGACCCGTGCGCGCAGAAAGTAGTAACCGGAAACGGCAAGATATGACCCGGAAAGATGGTAGACTGTGTTTGCAGCAGGGGTCGCTATTTGATCTTACCATAACTGCAAAGAATTACACAAGTGGATATACTTTTTTACATACTGTAAGTACTCATCGATCGCCTAATAAACAACGAAACTGGACACTAGAGTGATGCAAAATTTGAAATTTTCGCTCCACAATACTTAAACGATTCCAAATCGGATCCTGACTAACCTCTCAAAATTTGAACCCATTTGGTGAGAAACTGAGATGGCACAAACCATTTGAAGTTTGTATGGGAATTACTATGGTAAAACTAAGATTTTTGTTCATGTCTATCTAATAATTCACCATATCGGTCTGCTTCAAAAGCTTTCAACTTTACTTGTAGGAAATTTTCCCAGCTACAACTTTGCTCAAGACAACTTTTTGATTAATTGCAAGGATCGAAAGTTATTAATGGTTCAATGCACTGATGTCTTATGATCATGCTCAATCAACTGCTCAGCAGGCAACATTGGTGTTTCTGAGGCGTTGAATAGGACACAAAAATCATGGCTACTATGTCACACTGCAAAAAACAGTGTTGCCTGCAGAGCAGCTGTTTGATATTGTCATAAGTTTACCAATCTCTTCAATAATTAATAACTTTTTCCTGTCTCGTTTTACATAGAAACGATCTTGAGCAAAGTTGTAACTGAGAAAATTTTCTATAAGAATAGTTATCGAACTGTTTCGCAGCTCAATATGGAAAAAGATTAGAAGGCAATGAACAAAAAGTTCAGATGAACAACTTTATGGTAAAGAGTTCAGCTCATAAAAAACTCAACAGGCAGTGCTAGTGTAACAATAATTTTCCATTGTTTGCCGTTTTGTAGGTACCTGAATAAGAGTCGTAAAAATGTGGAAAAAATCGAGAAAAATCAAAGGGGTACCGAAGAGGAAACCCCATAACAAACTTTTCAACTTCTTGTTTCATTTCTAAGTCTCAGTATTATATTTGTGTAGGCACTGCTGGTCCAAATCGTTCCGATGCTTCATCCAAAACCGCTGGTCAGAACCAATCCGTCGATGATCCTAGTCGATTCACCGGTCCTTCCTCGATTTCAGCCGTTACGCACTTTTTCTCTTACATAAATAAATTTCAATTAGGTTTTCTGGAAAATCAATCCCCCCTATTCTGCGAGTCACGTGACTCTCTCTCACCGGTGAGGTGACAATAGTCACCTCGTGTGAGGTGACTCTCCATTTGATTTGCATGGAGAGTCACCTCACACGAGGTGACAATTGTCACCTCACCGGTGAGAGAGAGTCACGTGACTCGCAGAATAAGGGGGAATATAAATACTTGCACTAATCATTATGTTGAGTTCCATGTGATTTGAGGTATCACACGATGCATTTCAATTGTCCACTTCCCGGGGGTACCCGGTACATCTGAAAGAGGCCATTGTGATCATTGGGTCTGAATATGTCAACCATTGATCTTATAGTAACATTCTAATGTGATTTGAGGTGTTGCATGATGAGTTTTTGATATATCAATCTTTTGCGAATTCCCCAGTGGAATGTGGAATTCACATTTGTGTTCATATCTTCGGAACCATAATTTCGATCGGGAAGAAAATCAATAGCGATCTATGGGGATCTGAAACACATCTTTTGGAACTTGTTCCACTCAAATTGCTCCAGGCATCTCTGTGAAAATTGAGTGAGTTACAACACTCATACGAACTTACACAAAACAGAACTGATGTTGGTCAGTAACTGTAAAGCAGTGCAGCGGGCAGAAATCTCCGTTGGAGAGCACACCATTGTTTCGAAGCGCGTGCTAAAGTATCTGGGAGTGATGATCGACGACCGGCTAAACTTTAACAGCCACGTCTAATATGCTTGCGAGAAGGCGACGAAAGTCATCAACGCAATAGCCAGAATCATGCCGAACAATTCTGGTCAAAGCAGCAGCAAGAGGCGTCTTCTTGCTAGTGTGTCCTCATCGACACTACGATGCGGAGGTCCAGCCGGGATTGAAGCGCTGAAAACGAAGCAGAACCAAAGGAAATTGAGCAGGACGTGCGTTCCGGCTCATGGCCATGCCAGTCGTGAGTGCGTACAGAACCATTTCGATGGAGGCAGTATGCGTTATCGCCGGTATGATCCCAATCGGCATCACCTTGGCGGACGGCTACGAGTGCTACCGTATGCGTGATAATGTTTGCACCATTGAGCAATTTCAAAATTAAAAAAAAATTCTCAAAAATTTCGTTTTCGAGTTTTTTTTATTTATGCAAAGGGGGGATGTTTCTCAGAGTCTTAAACTATGTCAATCATCGATCGAGTTTCCACTTGCTGCAATTACGGCCTCCACACGCTTCCGGAATGCACGTCAGGTTTTAAATGTAGTCTGAATCCATTTCTCTCCAGGTACGGGTCAATGTTTGTCTGAGGCTTGCTGTACTCGGGTGGCGTTTAGAACAGGCCTTGGCCTTCATGACGCGCCATATTGAGTAATCCAGCGGATTAAGATCGGGGCTGGATGGCGGCCACATATCCTTCGCCCAGAACGGAAGATGTTCCTGCAACCACTTCTGAGTGCGGTTCGAGGTGTGGCACGGAGCCCCATCTTGTTGAAATACAACATTTGGCTTCGGACCGTACTGTTCTTTGATCCACGGAAGAACATACACTGGAGTCGCTTTTTACGCGGTTTTTTTTTACACGGTTTTTTTTTACGCGGTTTTTTTTTACGCGGATTTCGGAATTTACGCGGTTTTTTTTTACGCGGATTCCGGAATTTACGCGGTTTTTTTTTACGCGGATTTTGGTTTTTTTTTTACGCGGATTTCAGAATTTACGCGGTATATCGCTTTTTACGCGGTTTTTTCTTACACGGTCTTTTTTTACTTGGTTTTTTTTTACGCGGATTTCGGAATTTACGCGGTTTTTTTTTACGCGGATTCCGGAATTTACGCGGTTTTTTTTTTACGCGGTTTTTTTTTACGCGGGACGTATCACCCGCGTAAAAAGCGACTCCAGTGTACTTACTTAAAATCCCGATGTAGACCTCCGTGTTGACCTTGTCGCCTTCTGGAATGAACACCGGAAGTCACCAATCCAAACACCATAACGCTAGCAGGATGCTTGGTCAGATACACGTTCTTGTGCTCGTCGGCCACGTCTTTTACCGGAAGAGAACTAATATACCGGTCGGTTCTGGAATTTGATACGGGATCGACGGTAAACATGCTCTCGTCGGTGATCCGGATTTTTTCGCTTAAGGTAGTTCACGATTTTCTTGCATCGTTCGACTCGTAGCTCCCGGATGCGGTTGGTAATTATGTGAGTTTTTTTTTCGAGCCCTCGACTTCTCCCCGCAATCTTCCGTGCCGTAAAGTCACTGATCCCGTGTTCCTTTGCCATTTTCCTTATTGAACGCACTGGATTCACCCGAATCTTCCTTTTGATAGCAGCGATAACCCTCGGAACCCGAGCTGACCTCGGACGACCTGTGGCCACCTTCGCGGATAGTTGTCCTTTCTTTTCTCGATCTAAAACCCTTTTGATGGTCCACCAGGACACTCCCACGGCGATTGAAATGTCTTTTTGCGACATTTGCGCGTGGGACAAATCACGAATACGCTGCCACTGCCACATGGTGCAAATGTCAAACTAAGTGAATCATTTTCTTTTATACACAGCCTACTATGGTATGAGCTATAGGCTACGTGCATGCACAGAAAACCAAGGCATTGTATGCACAGGTGAAACGGGAACCTTATTTGTACGATGGTGCAAATATTATCACGCATACGGTATATGACGAGAGAAACCAGAGGAGTGCAAAAATGGTTAGAACGGTGTCGATGGCTAAGTGGCAGCAGGAGTGGGATGCAGCGGAGAACAGTAGATGGTAGAAGTCCACTTGACGCAGTTCTTGTCTGGTCATGGCTGCTTCAGGAAGTACCTGCATCGGTTCGGACACACAACGTCACCCTTCTGTCCGAAGTGTGGGAATGTGGAGGAATCACCAGATCACGTGGTCTTCGAATGTCCTAGATTTGATGCTGTGCGAGAGGAGATGCTCGCCCTAAGCACGAAGAATGTCGTTGAAGAAATGTGTCGAGAGGAGGACACCTTTAACGCCGTCAGCAGAGCTGTAAC